ATCAGATTATTATTATTATGGATATTGAATTAAATACCCAGGATAAAAACATATCCATGTACTTACACAATATAATGGAAAATATTGTTACCAACATAGATGCTGCCCACCGGTTAACATGATATTCGTTTATGTTCAAACACGAAAGCAAGCTTTAAAAAATAAGGAAAATAAAAAAAAAGATAAGATAAACCTAAATTAAAAAAAAGCAATTTAGTCACTGCCCTGCCTGGCTAGATTTTATATTATCATTTCTATTCGCAAACCTATATTTCTGTTGCTCGTCGCATGAAGCCTTGCAATTCACGTCCTTAAAAAGTTTCATTTGTGTATAGAAAGTAACACAACGCGGCATTACTTTAATATAAATTATTAAAAGGCGTTAACCTCCAGCCAAAGTTGAATTTAATTCTTATTCTCTCACTAACTCTCATTGTTTGACTCTTAAAATATTCTGCATTGTCTACATGTTTCAGAAAATGTTTCCAAAACGGTTATTTTTATCCTTCGCCGCCCCTTCTTTAACTTAAAATCTTTTCTGAGTAAGTATTCTTAGTGATAAACCTTTGTAATGCCATAAGCAATATGACAGACCATAGATGAGTGGAATTTAATTGAAACAGTAAATATCCTTGAAATTGCTGAACATGAGGTTGGTAGAACAAGAGATAAAAAAAAACTTAAGCGAGGAACAGGGGAATGAAATGGTACAAAAAACACGAACTTACGGTCTCTGACCAAAAGATCTTTCTGAGTGAAATACAAAAAAGAAAACAAAAAAAGGAAAAGCAGATGAATAACCGAAAAGAAATCAAGGAGAGAAAATGAGAGATGCAAATAATTAAGTAGAGACCAAGGAAACGAAATGATAGAGAACCACAAACCTCAGGATTCTGGCCAAAAAAGCTTTCTTTTGGAAATGCAAAACTAAACAAAATAGATGAAAGACAAATGAATACCTGAAAAGAAGGAGGGGAAAAACGGGTATAGAGTACAAAACTGAAAACTGCTAAACCTTGACCGAATCGAAGTTGAAAATCTGCCACGTTTGGCTTCTTTGAGGCTTATTATTCCATACAACACGAGATCGCCCGTCGCTTTTGTTATTCTTGTTGGTTTTCGGGCGGAAATTTGAGTTTTTGTCACTACCGTTTCATTGCAAACCTTAGGTAAACATTATATACAAATTTCTGTAGAAAAGAGAAGCAAACAAAATCTTACAATCCCAAGTCATTATGAGAATGGGATCCTTTCAGTAAGATACGGTGGTTATTAATAATATCTATCTAAAGCTGGATGTTTACCATCATTATCTCAGTAAATTCGTGTCTCAATCCATTTGAAAGAACCGCTTGTTTTCCGAGGAAGATGGAAAGTACAAAATGGAAGAGATTCGTGTAGGAATCTTCCTTTTGTTTTTTTCGAGCTCGTGTTGGTGCTATCGTATTCATAGCTACCGCCGTCTATAGACGTTGAACAGACTCACAAAGAAAGAGAAAGCCAACATTGTACAAATTGCCTGCACGATACTGAAGACATTTGGAGTTTGGAGGACAAGCAATGAACGCTTCATATGCTAAATCACTTTCCTTTATATGTGACTTACAATGAGACTTAAATATAATTATTCTCAATATCACTTATATTCTTCCATAACATAACATATATTTATTACATTTCATTCTATGTTCCCCTTTTTTCTTTCTTTTTATGTGCAATTCAATATAATTGTTTCTAGAAGTCGTAAATCCCCCATCTCACAATCATCGAGTATCCTAAAATGATAACAGTTTAATGGCAAAGAAAATTATTATTACTAATATAATTTTGTTTTTGCAGTATGCGACCAGCAATATTACACAGTTTAAACGAAATAAGACAAAGCCTTTTATAATTCATTGATGTATATGCTTTCTAATAATTTTGTTCTGATGTTCAACAACAGAAAATGTTGTAAAATGTCAATATCCTTTAACCGCACCTCTACATATTAATTAAATCGTAATAATTGTGAAAAATTGAATTTTTGCTCACTTACTTCGAATAGAATCAACTCAGCTATTGTTGGGTGAATATTAAATGTATAGGTTAGTGACTAAAATGCAAATGTCATGGAGTTGCATGCATTTTCTCTTGTGACAAACACATCCCACAGTTTGAGTCAAAAGGAAGTCTTGTGACGTTTTTTCCCTCTCTTTTTCTTTAAAAAAAAAATGTATCTTTGCAGTACGGCATCTTGCCAGCCTTACCGATCGAGGTATAGGCGCTTGGAGCCGCCTGTTTTATGCAACCCAGTTGTTGGTTTACGGACAATGTATTGATTTAAACCAGAGGCTACGTTTCCCAGCCATCCGCTACCTTTGCACGCACGCGCTCTTGCACTTTTTGTTAACCTCCTTCGCGTGGTATTTCTTCTTGTAAACGAGCGAAAGAAACGAGTTGATGGGATGGAGAAAGGATGGAAATACAAGTCATACATGGCAAGTATTTTGATGCCGGAGGCCTTTTATCGTGACTTCTAAAAGGTCATCATTCCAGTCACATCGAAGCTAAAAGGGTATGATATTTGGATGTTGGTAACCAAGGTTATGCATGTATCTTACAAGGCATGGCTGAGATTTGATCCAAAAGATGTTTGACGTCGCTTTAAAAATCCACGAGACTACAGTCGAGTGATTCAATTAGAAATCAGTTGAAGAATACCTTCATTTGCAATAATAATTCGAGTTCCCCCTCCATAAACACTGATAATAACAAAGTTGTCGAAGAAACTAATTTCCTTGCTTCATTAGCTCATGTTCACATTGTCATGGGTAATGTGAATGTAAATTCTGAATAGAGTAAACCGCATTACGTCATCGATGTATATTTGAATTCCATTGATCTGATTTCTTCAAATTCACTGTGTGAGATAGAACATGTGAGTGTGGGAGTGTGCGTGATCGTGTGCTCATACTAACTGTGCCAGAACATGTGCGTGTGTGCGTGTGCGTGTGCGTGATTATGTGCCTAAAATAAATGTGTAAGAACATAGGAGAGTGTGCGTTTGAGTGCGTGTGCATAAACGCATGTGCTTCATTTTTGTTTGTAGAAACCAAGATAAATCAATGAAGCCCCCCTAATTTGAATCATCGATTTTTTTTTCTTTCTTCTCTATTTTTTTTTCATATATATTTTTAGTTAATCTGAGAACGGATTTACGTACTGAAATCATGGCGCTCTGCCTTGATCAAAGGAAACAAGGGAAGAAGCAGAAAAAGAGGAAGAAGAAGCCCCCAAAAAGGAGGAAAAAATAAAGAGAGTTGAGACGAAGAAGAGGCCGAAGAAGGAGAAGAAGAGGTGGAAATAGAATAACAATAAAAAGAAGAAGTACAAAAACAAGAAGAGGAAGAATAAAAAGAAGAATTAGTATAAAAGGAATAAAGGTGCAATGGCTTCGATTAAGATAGGGGTTAGTAGCTACTTCTGTAATTTTTGATCTGTATGATCAGTATTTACAAAATAATCGCATCTTTGTCTAATTCGCAAAACAAAAGATAAATTTGGAAGCAATGTTAAAACTTTAAAAAACAAAATGTTGTAACTTCAGTGTAGAATATGTTAAATTTCCTTCAACGCAGTAGTATTATAAGGCAAAACGTAGATGCTACGATATTCTTCAATTCATATTTCGATGTGTATTAGTAATAATAATAACGATAATAGTTTTGATGATATGATAATCATAATAATAACAATATTCATGAAAACCATGATAATTAAAATAATATTTGTGACCATTTGTAATGCGCCATGTCTGTCGTGATTGAGACTCCTGGAGCAGTTATGAGAAATGTGGTATAATTATGGGCAAACATCCATAGAATAAATATATTTTTTAAATATTGCAGTAAATAATGAAGACTTTTCCCGTCTGTTTCTTCCCATCTTCGTCGAATCATATTGAGCACATTCTTTAAAGTAAATTCAAGAAAAATATAACATTAACTAATGAAGATTATTTCCGTCTGTTTTCCCCCATTTACGTAAAATCATAACAGAAAGCATGCTTTGATCCCCAAAAGACCACTTTGTTAGTTACAAATATATATTATGCCTGCATTCTGTAAAGAAATGAGATACATTTATATATATCTCGTATAGAAGAAGATGAAGGGGGAAACTTGAAAGTTTGTGTTTATTGATACGTCTTTAGATTTTTGCAGATCAAAATATTTTAAATTTTAAATTAATGCCCAGTGGAAATGTTTACTTTTTTAAAATTAATTCCCTTGTTAGCTCGGGCATAAATTGTTGTATAAATGCAAGCTTATCATAATGGAAAAGGGTATTGTTATGACAAAGATATAATTAGGAATAAGAAATAAACAAAATTGTCATCATGAGGAGGAAAGTGGAACTAACATGACGTTCACTCGTAAAAAACCTGTAATCTTAAATGTATAATTATATTTGTGAAATGAAGTTAAAAAACCACTTCTCATTTTAAATTAAGCGATCAGCATACTGACGACATCTTTACTTATAATTCAAAAAGTATCCCTTAAAGAATATTTAAAAGGAAGGAAAGAAAGAAATTTAATTTTAATCTGAATACCAGAGTATACCAGTGATATATTTCAATTTGCAACAAAAATCCGACAAATATAAGCTATAACTTAAACGCGTAGGGGAATAAAATTTTGCTGTCTTTTAGTATCTCGTTTTGTTTTCTATTAGAAAAGTAGGCACTTTAGTAGTTATGAGTTGAACGAACATCACAGTGCATGATGATGTTAAAGTCCTGTGTTTGTTTCTCCTAAGTATTTCAATTAAAATCTGTAATATAGAAGAAGAACAAAAATTGAAAGATGTTGCATTATTTGAACTTGCTAGTGCTTTTTAGAATCTGCTGTTGCTCCTAGAATACATCTTTACCTCGCGAGAGAAAATCAAATTAAATCAGTAAACAACAGCTAATATTTGCCTGATGGTAACTATATATCTTCACATCAACTTACACTTGGAATATTTTCTTGGTTGCATATCTTTTCGGCGAGTAGCCGGTCCCTGATCTCCCATGCGAAAATTGACGGACATTCTCTCTTATAGTGGGCAATCCGCGTCACAACATGAGGGGTAGCTACCCGAGGCTTACTCCCCCCGATGGCCCGGGGTCGTATGCTCCCTGTCTCGTAGTAGCGGCCTAGTATCTTCGAGACGCAGCCATTGGAAACCTGTAGTATACGGGAGATGTCGCAGGGACGGGCGCCGCTGTGTGCTAACTCGACTATCTTCTGTCGGGTAGAGTCCGGCAGGGGACGACCGTTGACGAAGACCCCTCCGAGCTGATTTACTCCACTGTGCCCTATGAAAAGAACAAAAGAATATAATCGAAAAATTGATCAAAAGAAAATCAAATGCGATAAGTATTAAATTGATAATGGTGATGGTAATGAAAACACTAACAAAAAAATAGTTTCACTCTTTAGAAAATCAAATTTGCGAGTGGATGATAATATCTCTACATTCCTATCAATAGTGAGTTTCTCCGAAAAAACACAACGATAATAATCTATAAAAGTACTGTTTAAGTATAGCCTCGAATTGATAAACATGTGTGAATTTTTCACTTTTCTATAAGAGAAGAAAGTAGTTGTTGTCTGCTGAAAGCCAAAAGGGTGTTAACTCTGTGTTAAGTATATGTGTTAACGCCCTTCTGGCTCCAAACATTGGTTGTAATTTTCCAAAAGAAATTCTATCATTATGAGGTGTAATTTGTATTTTTTTTAAAATCCAAGTCACTTTCCTAGTTCATTCTCTCATTTTATATTGTATAAGCCTATTGCGTATTTATCTATTTAAAGGACATTCTCTGCAAATAAACTCTACGTAACAAGTAATCTGTCTATTTTGTTATACGGCTAGCCTTGAGTATTTATCTATGATCATCTATGTCATAGGCCAATAACATTTTATTACCACTTTTTTCATAAAAAGAAATTATCTTTACTAAATAAATGTCTTTATCAATTTTCCTAATTTAGACGAAATTAAAAGAACTATTTTGATACTGTTCACAATATCGAGAGGAAAAAAGATTTATTATTATTACATTCAGAAAGTTAATTGTCGTGTAATGTGTTTCTTACTTGAATTTCTTCACAACTCACTTTTAAATATCAATTTCGTATATACCGTCACTTTTTGTTATAAATAAATTTGCTTTCATGCGCTAGAAATTAATTTTTCTAGTTTATTTTTATGCTATTTCTACCTCCCAAAAATGGCTACATCTCTTACAATAAATTCATTATAGGCCTAGATTCATTTTCATTTTATTAAATGACGTAACAATGCTAATGGTTTAAACGACATCGATACAAAAGGCATGTGTATTTGATGCTGAATATTAAACAAGTATACGGAATGAAATCTGAACGCTTACATGTTCTAAATATTTGAATTAGGCTTTTTTAATTTTCATGAATGCATCGATCACCGCCTGAACTAACCGTACTTTTTCTGTCTCAAAAGACACCATATTATTTCCCATAACATGAGGCAATTTACACGAATGCAATTGCCACAATAAAATATACCACGACCTCACATGAAATGAAACGAATAAATACATAAATTAAATGAGTAAACAAACAAACAAAAGAAAGAAACAAACAAACGAACAATTAAAATTACTCCGCGAATTTTACATTTAAAAAAGAAATCTTCTTTACCAACATAGACGGTAGTCTGTATTACACGCAGTTTTCTTATTTGATTTAAACAAAAACACAGAGTGACGACAGTGCTTTCCAGTTACGCATTCATTACAATACATTTCTTCAATTTAGTTGTCCACCCCAAAGTACTCTTCCACTCGAGCTGTTCCTGTGTATTGGTCCGTACACTTGCTGTATCACCTTATTGCGTTCTTTAACATAAACCCCCAAAAGTCTACACAGGACTCTCAACAACAAGCAAAAGTCACTTAACCGTTAAATCATTTTGTCGTCGCTTTTCCCTCACTCTCTCTCTCCCTCCCTTCCCCATATTCCCCCTGCTTTTCTCTCTGTTCGTAAATGTGTTTCCTTTTCTTTGATTTCTATTGATTTTCAACTCGTGGTGAGAACATCAACCCAATCGTGAAATTATTCCACGATATAAATTCCTTGTCCCAACAGCTTTCCATAAAAGGGCTTATCTATTTGCTATTGATCCGGACGCATCGCATTGTGTAGAGTGTCATCGCATATTATTTGCTGCAACGCCATTGGCTAAGACGTTGTATCACGTGGGTAGGATGCAATGACGCCGAAATCAAAAGGTCTATCAACCCTGGTATATATGTTCAATAACGGAGGTGTTCAGGCGATAACTGATTAATGACTAGTTGCTGTTGTGATTCAATAACACATTGATGACGTTGTTTAGGTAAGGAATTCCATATTACTTCCCAGTGTTGAAAACATACACAAACAGACCCCCAAAACGTTGAAATATAAATGAAAGAATCTGAATAAATTCATGATTTAGGCTATCCACATTCAACAATTAAAGAACAGTTTTATGATTTAATTTTTTTTAAATAGAAAGAGCCCCTTCAATAAATTCATGATTAAGGCTATCCACATACAACAATTAAAGAACAGTTTTATGATTTCATTTTTTTTTAAATAGCAAGAGCCCCTTCAATTTCATATAAAAGACAGAATAGTCTGAAACTTGACGAAGAAAAATTTCTTCGGAAGATTTCTATTCTCCTCCATAATGAACTTGATCCATTGCGCATGAACTTTACCAAGATTCCTTCGTCGTTTTTATTGTTATTGAACATTAAAACATTACAAAACGATTTAAAGAACATCCTGGAATAGGGATTTTGTATCAACTAAATTGTTGACGGAAATCACCTAGCTTTGATAACCGCTTTAATTCCGTCTTGTCTTTCATTTGGCGAATACCATCGATAAACATCAAAATCATCTCTATCATGAAAGTAATAAGATAAAGAAAAAATGTCAACTGCAAAATAAAAATTAGATATTTAGATACATTACACATATATTTTAAAATGCGAATAGGGTAAAACCTTAATGCATTACAGGGTTAAAATCATGTAAACGTTTAGGTAATTGTATGTTATGCTAAGCTTAATTAAAACTAACATCTCTACTAGCCTATATCTACTATTACTGAGTGATCGGTATCCATTTAAATTATTTAGCTTATAAGATTTCGGCTTATATTCTCCATATATTCATAAATATTTGTAGTTTTGCTGATCCATACGACAAAACTACTCCACGGGAATTTTCAGTTTCTTTACAGATAAAAATGGCCTAAAATGCATTTGTATCATGAAGACCAAATCAGTTTAGATGGCTTAGTTCTTTTAAAGATAGGTTGAAATAAATTAGAGTTAGTTTGCTGTAATATTTTTTTTAACAGTTGAAGACGGCCTGCATTAAAACATATCATGCGTTATTATATGCAATCGTGCAATTCCCTTTAAATATTAAACGGAGGGGACTTGAAGGAAAGACTGAACTCGTCTTTTGAAAAGAGGGAAGAAGTGACATCATGGACGCTAGTTCAGCAAACAATCAAAATATTCTAGACTGCTGCGATTATGTCGATAAAAAACGGAAATTTGGTGGCGCTTTTTGAATGGATTATTGTGTGAGCGCAGTGTAATAACGCGCGCCTAGCTGGAAATAAGAACGGAAGACGAACCGCACCTGCCCCTCTCGTCCCGGCCTATTTATCAGCCGGCGCCTCGCTCAAATTGCAGCATAGAAACGGCTGCATTTGTAGGCCCATTAAAAGAAAGAAAATAAGATGAAAGTAAGGAGAGAAACCTCGTAAAAATAGATAAATTGGAGAGAACAGAAAAAAATGATCGGTGAAAATCAATGCGGAAATTCACTTTTTTTTCTTCCAGAATATAGAATGACGAGAACGGGAAAAGGCGAAACGAAATAAATTTTAAAAAGTCAATGTTCTACCTTCTTCACGTTTTGTTAATGTTACCAAAAGCTATTAAACGTCATGTTTAATATTTTGGCATGGTCGTGATAACACTTGAAGTGTGCATTTATCATGTTAATTTAGCATTAAATAGAAGAAAAGATGTAACAAATTTCAGATAAAGAAAGAATATCCAGAATTGGAAACACTTGGTGTTTGTTTCAGTTGGGATAATAAGAATAACTATTAAAACCATTAGCATCATCATGACTAAAAAGACAAGATATTGTATATATCTTTGTCAACAATTCTCTAGTCTGGCTCCCCATCAACACAAGAATTGATTTTTTTTCCTCTTCAAAGTGCATGTTTAAAGCCTAAGTAGTATACAACGCGTGTAGGTGTAACTGTGATGCATTTAAATGTCCCTAGTAAAGCGAAATAAAAGTTGGTGTAGTCGCTAGATCACCCTCGTGAAATATCACTGAAATCCTTATCTAATATTGTCAATCCGAGTACATAATACAATTCACCACCAAAATAAATGCTATGTGCAAGAAGTTCTTTTGTTTTTGAATGAATAATAATTATTCAAAAATATGTTGTATTTGGGGTAAAATCATTCCCTAATATTTTAAGATTAAATAACATAGTTTCATTATTTCATGAACACTACCATAATCTCTCTTTTTTTAAATCGAAAATTCCTTTACTAAGGCTCTCTTAAAATACATCATTCTCGTGAAGTGCGAGTGACAAACGCATATTTCTGCAAAAGATTAGCATTTTTATAGTAAAATACCATCAAAGTCACGTGACGTTCGATACATTCCTGACATGTTAAGACACGTGTGTCTTCAATGTATTTCTGATCATACTCGTTCACTAGAATGATTTTCTATGGCAATTTTCTGCTGATTAAAACTTCAAGGCCTCAACAGTATGGTCGGGAGACTTCCACAGGAATAACTTCCGTTTTCGTTGTGTAGAAAGTTTAAAGGTTTCATCAGTGGTAACCTGCTTTTTCTCCTGACAGTAAAATCACAACAACATAATATCTAAGAAATGAGCATTATTTTCAATCAGACCGTTTTGTTGTGTAGAAAGCTTAAAGGTTTCATCAGCGGTAACCTGCTTTTTTCACCTGATAGTAAAATCACAACAACATAATATTTCAGAAATGAGCAGTATTTGAAATCAGATGTGAAATGCTAGGTCGTAATTCACTACAATGCATCCATGACTATTAAACGACATTCATTTTCACTTCACAGACGAAAACCAATACTACATTTTCGTTTGAGTGTGGGCAATTTTATATAAAAAAATATACACTATTTGTCTTATAAGCGTAGTTTTCCAGGAGAAATATCTATTAATGATACAGAATTAATAGTGATCTTTAGACTCTTATTCTACAAAAAAACAACGCAACTCTGCACTGGGTTAAAGTTCGAATTAAGGTCACGTTAGATAAAGGAACATAGAGAGAGAGAGAGAGAGATCCAAATTGTCGCTTAATTGTACTCAGATTTGACCAAAGCTATTTAAAAAAATAAAGTGAATTCTTCTTTATTCTAAAAAGCACCCAGCGAAGTGATAGATACCCACAAAGCCATTTTTCTTTCTTTTCCCAGCTAAAACGTAGTATTTAGTAACATACTCCGTCTGTGATTATACAAAAGGAAATAGATATGGAGAGAAAGAAAGGGAAATGGACGGTGTGTGTGAGGGTCAATTAAAAGAAAAGAGAATTCTTGTCTGGAATTGAAGGAACCCTGGCCACTTGTGGTCAAATACGAATGAAACATAATCTCCTGCCTTCTATTGATAATCTGGAGTTGTTTACATAGTAGTTAATAGGGTATAAATACATTGGAAACTTATATTGCACTTATGGGAATAGTTTTATTTTGAACCGTCTACATTGAACCTGTTGTATAACCTTGTATCATCCCCACGAATCTGCCAAAATGGTCCGCACTATTAATTTCTTGTTATAGATTTTAACCCGTCCAAGGTCTAAAATCGCAAGTCTATGCCCTTTAAACCGTAATATTAACTGGCAAATTTTTGTTAACATTTTCGTGTAAAGCTTCCAGACTGGCGTAAATAAGAACCAGCATCTGAGAACGACAATTTTGTTGTATCAATGCACATTATTGGTTTTGTTTAACACAAAGTCACGTCAACCTTTAAAGGTAAATTCAAATAAATACATTTTGAAGTCTTCTCTAATAATACCCCAAAAAGTCAGCCCTTTTTTTTTACACACACATTTTCTTAGGCTCACCCTATGTTCAAATTCAGCTAAATTTTCGCCTCCATGAATATCAACAAAGAAGAATGAAGAAGAAAAAAATGATATTCATGCATAATAAAAAGAATTTTAAAAAGTGGATCAAATTTGTGAAGGGCACACCCCAGTACCGCCGCGATAAATGTGTTTTCTAATAATCGAAATGATGAGAGGTGCAGTAAATTCAAATTAAAACAGATAAGTAAATTCGATTATCAGCACACAGCTGATAAAAAGAACAAAATGGCACATAATATCAGATAGGCTTGGGAATGTGTTAACAAGAAATGAATATTCGAAATCAGATTTGCAGTCGGTAATCGTAAGAAATAATACCTCCTGATTGCATCTGAGTGGAAATCTAATTACGTCTCATCAGTGATGTCCAATTACATCGATTTCATTTGCTACTCAAAATATTCTTAACTCACTTTCAATAGATTACACACGGCTTTGAGAACTCAAGGACAAACTTTGTCCTATTTTGCCAAGCCGATATTTATAGCAACTGAACATCAGCGAACGCAAAAGGCGATGTACAATGCATCGTTCTAATATAATATCATAAGCAGCGCCCGAAGGCATGCATTAAGACCGGCGATTTGCGGTACACGTGAACACCCAGCACCACCCACACGCACACACACATGCGCGCGCACACACACACACACAAAAGAGATATCAACACACACTACTAATATACATATAAGATTTCCCATGATGCACTTTGACACGATCACAATGGATGATAGATTTGCTTTGGCGCGCAATAGCTTCAGTCAATTGGCCCGTTCAAACTGAATGCTTTTGAAAACGCCTAATTTGTCTATCGGCGTATTATGCGTGTTAACAATACGTCACGCATAAAGGCGTAATGATGATGAATGATGAGGATTCGACAAGGCGAGTTGGTATTATGAATTGCTGATATGAACTTGAACCGATCAAAAATGTCTGTTGTTGGTTTGAGGATAACATGGAAGCCTAAGGATAATTGGAATTGCTCGGTCTATAGGCGTGGATAATGTCTAACGATGGGATTAGATAGAGATTAGTTCCACTCTTCTGGTGAATCGACAAAAGAACTCCATGCCCAATGATCAATGCTAATTAACCAATCAAGTCCTTCATTTTCTTGCTCAGGACTTTGCTGAGACAACTCGTACAAGGTCCAACAACATTTATTTCAAAATCGGCATTCTAAATTCTTTCATTTCTTCAAATAATGATACCTAAAACAGTCTTAACCAATCCATTCATAAAACATTCCGCATTTCCACTTCGATTGACTCTTTTAAGCAGAACTTAAAGACGCACCTTTTCAATAACTGAACGTTATTTTTATAAACTTCTTTTCCTTATTTACTTGTCTGTCATTATCATTAATTAGTGATATTAAGCGCATTGAGTAATATTTTATTAGATTTTGCGCTTTATAAAAATCAATTGTATGTATGCATGTATGGTTTTTGTTCAAAATAACGTTTGACAAAATTGCTTCAGGGGTAAACGCTTTATATTATCAAAAACTTAATTATAGTGTATTTCAGAATTACAATAATAATTTAACATTCGGTAAATGGAACCAATAAATAGCAAGAGCTTTTTAATAGTGTCGTCATGACAGTACATAAACAAACAGAACATGTTTTGATTTCCTCTATTTAATTCGTTCTTCTTAATCCCTATAAACTTTCGTACCCATCACCCCGATTATCACACACTTGATTCACATCAGAGCATTCTAATTGACCACGGGTGTTTATGGGTCTTTTAATGCTATGATAACTGTGTGTACAATTATTTTACCCTTCATTATTCTGATTCTTATTTTTGTATGTTTGTTTGTTTGTTTGTTCTACTTGACTGCTAAGAAAGCATGCGTATGCTTGTAAGTAAATAGCGATGTGGGGTTAGGTGGATAAACATTCGTATAACATGCAAAACTTGTGCAGGGTAATACTTTATTAAGAGATTGATATTTAACCAGTTAAATGGGGAGGACACTTTAAAGGTCATAATACATTCAACGTGAGAAACATTTAGAGGACGAATTCCATGTGTGCTACGTTTGCCTGAGTGTTGGAATTGGTACATGTCCTTAAATTATGTTAAATTATGATAATATAGGATTTATTAAATTGCTAAATTTTGCATAAATCGAACCTTTTTAGACTTTTTGTGAAGTGAAAATGGTTACCGGAAATGTGTATGCACCCTTTGATAACTATAGGCCTACATTCAATGTCAGTACGTATCCTTTGTTGGATATCATCATTGGACAAAACGTCTAGATGATTACACCAAGAAATTACATTGAAGAATTTGCTACATAGATGAAGTTACTTTGTATTGCGATTGTAAATGTATACTAGTTTCAATTATGTTTTTCTTTATTTATAATGTTTTCGAAAAGACACTCTCGATTTCATTGGATATCCAATAAAGGCAAAAACGGTAAAGATCGGTAGTTCAATTTATCCACCGCACAACTATGACAACATGACATATTTAGATGATAACACATATAAGCTTTATCAATGCATATCATGTAATATGAGAAATCTATGTTCGAATACAATGGTATCGGTAAATCTGGGGTATAAATATCAAAATGAATACAATTAAAAACATTATGTGAACGAGAGATATAATTGGCGTAGAAATAGACTCAGTATTCCTCATTTTTTCGCCCGCACTCCCTTTTCTTTTGCAGACAGAAGTTAACAGGCTAAAAGGTATATAATTACGTATCAAAAATATCCAATGCAGGTCTCCAATCGGGCCTAATTTTGTTTTGTTTTTAATTAATATATTATAATAATTAAAAAGAGTTACGATAACGATATTCCATTTCATAATTTCGCCATACACTTTCAATTAAACACTATTTTCATCCCAGTCGCTGATAAATCATTAGATTGATTTCAATCGCGTACGGTGTGATATTTCTCACAACGCGAGCGCAAGCTGCTGGGAAACTGGCAGTCCTCACACGAGCGAGTGTTACAAACTCTCCCTCGCCGCAACTTCCCCGACAAGTCTCTCCCTCCGCTAGTGATTAGCATTTTCCGCTGCCTACAGTGCTTAGCAGACAGATTTACGTTTCTCCTAACATTTTGAATCATTTTGTAACAAAATGCATATCATCATATTGAATCACTTGTGCTTGTAATTATGTATTTGTAATATTCACGGTTACATTCTCTTTAAAACAAAACATTGATACACCTTGTCGATGAAACTCGGTATGATTACAAAAATACAAATTGATTTGTATCATTTGTACATTATATTTTGCTATGAAATAGAAGAGACATCTCTATATCAAAATTTAAAGTGTACCTTTTCCCCTCACTTTTAACAGATATGTGGTGTTATGTACAGTTGAAGAAATGCATTAATTCCGTACTATAGCACTGACCGAGTACGGATTTGGAATTTAATTATGCTATGGTATATTATATGCGAATTTTAAAGTCTTTCTTTCCACGACGTGTAAAGAAATAGACGGAAGAAGGTTGCAGGAGGACGAAAACTTGATATAATCAAGATATTATGGACTGAATGAAACCTCATGTAGCTTTTCATTTAATCTTTAATATGTAATCCACAACTGATTAATTACGGTGGAACCGAACAAAGCATCATTTTGCAATGGAACTCGTTAGTAATTTAACGATAGCATATTATCCATCTTTTTATCCTGATGTTTGATGAGTGGAAAATAAATTCATCTAGTAGAATCTTCATCTTTGCTTTACAAAGAAATTCATTCTGACCTCAAATAAAAATTGAGGATGTAGTTTCAGACGGGGTTTTAAATCATGATTAAAGAGAATTATATTTCTTTGTCTACATAATATATGCCTTCGTATAATTTCTAGGATAGATCAAATATCAGACTTTTAAACTAAAACATACATGTATTGTTTCAAGAAAATAAATCGAAACAAGGCTACATGAGATTTTTATGTTCACAGTGGGAAACGTATTTCTTTTACTTTGCCCTAAAGCTACCTTCTAATAAACCTATATAATAACATTTCAGATGAATTTTAAAATGTTCTCACCTTTGCCCCCATCGTTGCTACCCCAATCGTGATCTAAAAAAAATAATCCATAACAAACAAAAAATATATCAATAAATCGTGGTTTTAGATAGTTGCTTCTACTTCAAATAATATTCTGGATTTATATAAAAACGACTAGCAATTGTGATGAATGATGAAATATTTTGAACACAATAAATTGGAATGACACAAAGCAATGATGATGTGGAATATCTACTTGTGATGCGGATATATATTCGCTATTAATACATTTACTTTCATTTTGTAATCCCTTCCATGGATATAATTTGATCTTGTAAAACATATCCCATTGCAATTTTGCAAGAGTTACATGCATTTATACATGAAAATGCTTCTTATACGACTAGTATCGATGTAAATATTACATTGAAATATGTGCATAGTATAATATTGATGTATTTTCAAAATATGTTGAGTTGATCAAAAAAAGTTCTCTAATATGATTAAAAAAAACATTTGTTAACACTTTTATAAGAACAATCTAGACGAAACATGCTGAATATCAACTTTCAAAATTTTCAAATAAATGATGACTGAGAAAAAGCGCAATGAAGGAGAGTGCGTGGAGATGAAAAGTATGAATGCGCCTTAAAGAAGGCTAGATGCTGAAAACCCCGCTGTTATAGGGTATGTCTGAATAGCATTATTTTTTCTTTTCTTCAGAGAAGGTCATCTTAAACAAATGCAGAGTCTGCTCTACTGCTTTTTTCCCTTCTGTATTATGAATCGGGAGGAAACAACAAACTAGATTCTTTGCAATGGACTGGTATCGTTTCAATTAGCAAGATGATTTCTACACACTTATACAGCTCTCAAGGGAATTAAGGGTGATTATTTTTGTTAAAATTGTTAGGATTAAAACAGCAAATACACATGCATTTATCAGTCTTTTAAGCAACAAAGGATGCGAAACAAATTCAGGTATCTCGAAGGTATATAGGTATATAGTTAGAGAACGAACACTACGCAGCCATATTTTGAATTGTTCTTTTACCAGATTACCTTAACTATGAATCGATGCGGATAATGCCATATATATATTTAAAAGTAATGATATATATAAAAACATGCTTTTTAATCTTCTTGTCCTATACGATTGGTAATGATAACAAAATCTGAGTATTAGAAATACAGTTCCCGTGTAAATTATTTTATTAATCCTCCGTTCTCATAAATTTGAATTGTTTTTGTTATGTAAATGTGGAACAGATACATTTCTAACATTAAATGTCTCTAGTATAACGTTAGCAAATGTTAGACGATTTGTTTTCTTCATTTTCAGTTAACTCAACGAATTTTGAAGCCAACTAGTACAACGTCATTGCGGAAACCAATCCATCATCATTATGACAATGAAGGGACCTAACCGATTCTATAATTGTGCCTCTTTGTAATCAAAACCCTAATTATTTGGGGCTCTTTCATACATCGAAAAACCAGCGTGCGAAATTCTGACCTCAAAAATACAAGAACTTTATTTAAACGTTCCTCTGCCCCTAAGTTGTTTGTTTCTAAGCATTGTAATGGCATCACAATGTTCACCGACTCTACAATACATGGAAGAAACAAATACAGGATGTGGGAATTGCGATGGATATCTATTTAAAGTATTGTGGCATTTGCAGGCTCGCACTACAGAAAGGCGATTGCATTCTTAAAGAGAAGATATTGATAAGTACCATGTAAAAGTGTGGAAACATATCTGGGGGGTGTTTCACAAAGATCTTAAGTCGAACTTAACTCTAAGTTGGACTTAACAATTATGGAGAGCCATTTGTAGCGGTAAACTTAAATATTTCCAAAAGCAAAAATTGAAATATTTTAGACTTTTCATAAGTTCCACATCAATAACATGAAATATCCTTGATAATAGAAAATATGAATGATTTTAATCAACATTTTATGCCTTTTGAAATAACTTTTACAAAACATTTTCAATGATGCTAAAAGCTTTCCATAATTGTCAAGTCCAACTTAGAGATAAGTTCTACTTAGGATTTTTGTGAAACATCCCCCTGGATTGTGACAGGGTTTCACATCATTAAAGCCATATTTTGGACATTTAAGTTGGCGAAAGGTGGTCGGGCAGATAACCATTGCCCCCAATGTTTGGAAATGCTTTATCTAGTCTTTTGACTAGATGCTAATCCTAGCACGCTGAAGGATTAACGACCAAGCGAATATCAGTAACACAATTACATCTTAGATTTTGCAACACCTATCTCATGCAATTAACTAGTTAGGCATTGTCCAAGTTCAAATATCTATTTTATGTTGACCAATGCAACACACACTTTTTGGGGCTACAACTGCAAAACTTAGATTGTTATAAACCAGTATAAGTCACAATCATTTCTCTTTACGCGATTTGTATAGAATTAAATCCACCACTGTATGTACAACCTGAACATACGACAAGATGAAATATTTAAAATCTTCTGTATTATGATAGTCTTTTTACAGTACACATCTACTTTACCTCCTAACCCAGTTTTATTTTATTCTCTGGATCAGATAAGGAAAGAGCATTCGTTCAGATTTTTCCTCTGCCTGATGATTACAATTGAACATCTTTAAAGAGAAATGAGTGCAGGCTATCTTTCTTTATCATACGTAACACACACGCACACACACAAATCACCCACACTAGTTTTAAGATTTAAGAAGATTATTGCTTTAAAAATGTACGACATATTCATGAGGGATTCATATACTCGGTGTAGAGGTAGATCTAACGAAAACACAGAGGATGAAAGAAAGATCATCAAATAGATAGCCAATGTACTTTTTGTCTGTTTCTGTCTCTCTTTCCATCTCTCTCACCCTCTGTCTATTTCTCGTTAGAAAGTCCATGGTATGTTGGAAGATCGGTTTGTATGAAGCTCGGAGCTTAATAAGATTTTATCGAGACAAGCACAAGGTCATGGGCGCCATTCGCGATTAGGTCATACTAAATAATGCGTCATTGAAGCGCCATTGAGTCTCCAGTGCATACCCATACTTTTGCCTCTGCCATTTCAATCCTTACAACCATGTTCTGTACCAATTTGTGTCGTTATTTGTGCTTTTATTTATTTAAAAAATGTACTTAACATAATCAAGTCATTTAGGCTTCTAAAGAATACGAGAGATAATAATATACTAACCAAACTTGGTAATGAAAACAAAAAAGACTTTGAAAAGATTTTGTTAAAATTTCTTATCATATATGTAGTAATATTTTGGATCTAAAAGACATCTATTATGATGTGGAGCAGTTCAAAAAAGTGACGGCACAAATATTCTGTTGGGGAACAGGAGTTAAAAGTTGTATCAACTGCACCTTTTTGTAGTGAATTATCATATAATGGACCGAATTGTTGTGAAGAAAATTGTGAAAAACTGTGAAACTGCGAAGAAATGGGGAACCAATTTCTCTTAGATCACAAATACAGGTAGTGTTACTCCAAAATCTTTAATGCCAAGCTTGGCGATTTATATGACGTGTTTTTTTTTAAAGTTTCATTTGTCATGTCCTCGAAAAATGCTGTTAGCTTGTTACACTTGTTAAAATGCGGATAAAAAGGTCTTCATGCCCTTCTTTTCGGCAAAACATTATGCCTTGAATATAAACCATTCCTTACTAAAAGAAAAATCGATGAGTGGCTATAAATTGTAGTCTAGGTTCTCCATATAAAAATGAGGAGACCTGTTTATCCCATAGCTACAAAGGTTTCATTTTCTTAATATACACATTATATAGGCCTACATCAATGTTCCGTAATGCAAATGAAAAATATTCGTTTACGAACCTCCTGAGAAATCGAAATGAAAATAGATATCGCATCAGATTAAAAAAAAAACCTCTAAACACCTAAATCACTCTATCCGTACATGGGAATAACATAAATTGATATTTTAAATAGAATATATCGCATTTTTTTTTACAAGTCTTTCAGAATATCGTGTACATCCTAGATTGACTTTGGAAAAACATATGTGTGTATGGGGGGATATTAACAATTTCAACAAAGGTAATCAGAAATACATTAAAGTTATGAACATTCGATGATAATCATAAAAAGGCTACCTCTTCTAAACAAAGATAAAGTGTTTGAATAATTACTCATTGTGTGTCATAAAGTTTAGACCACGTGACTAACGCACCTGTCCATGATGATCTTAACAAAGTAAATCTTAAGATTATGGACTGCAATCACGTCATTTATGCAAATGATTTTGATGACAATTTCTTAGCTCATAGGTTTTTTGTTTTCTTTTTGTAACTTTGGAAATCAACTGCACTCAAATCTATTTACATGTGCGTTACTAGCGAATGCAATTAAAATGATGGATATAAAAATAACATTCTGATAAAATACTTGGTACTGAGTACTTCAAACGCATCAAAAAGAATAAATTTATCAATATGATCTTTGAAAACAATACAGTTTAAAGAAATAAAAGAGTTAATTTTGCAGCTATGAATGAATCAGAATGGATGCTATGAGCAGATAAGATGCTCGTGGAATGTGAGTGCACTCTGGAAATATACGATAATATCCGGTTTTAAAGAGTTTCTTTTATTTGAAAAATGTAGTTTAGGATACCATTAAGAACAACAATTCTGTATAATACTGAGAGTTGTAAAAGTCCTAACGCCTCATTACATGTGAGATATTTTATGAAAATACCATAGTTTGTCTGACTACTTTTAACCTGGCCCTTTAATTCATTTTCACAGCATTAACTAATCTAATCCCTAAAAATGGAATAAACAAGATTTGCAAAGATCTCCCCTCTCATCCTTTTTTCCTTTTCTCTCCCCCTTGTTGTCCCTCTCTCCGTTTCTATTTCTCTCTCCCCTCTCAATGAAATATGAAATCATATTTAGTTCGAGGCAGCTACACACCATCAATAGGGGAAATCGTCTTTTCCTCTAATACTCCGCCTTAAGGCATGACAAAACTGTTCTTTGTACAAAGTGCAAGGGCGCACAGAATAAAAATAGAAATAATCCTTATTCGTAGGACCACGTGGAAAAGCATCTGTCGGCTCAAGGAGAAGAGCACAATTACCCAATACATTCGTCAGCTTCAACTTGGTTTATGCGGCTTCCTCTCAGCGGCTTTTACCGGTTCGGTGACGAGTTGCGCCGCCACTGTATCGGCGTGCTCGTAGAGGTATTGCCACTGAGAACACCTTGCTGGAGGAATGCTGGAAAGCAGTAACTTACTTGCAAATGTAATCGCTGCTTTCCGTATAATTTGAATTCTGTTTTCCCACAGTATATTACTATCGCTTTACCAAATTACATTCTAATTCGAAACCCATCGAAATATATTTCACAATACTAAATGAACAATAGGCCTATGATTTTGACGAAAAAATAAAATAAAACAGTACTTGTAATGGTATACCACTCAGACTAGTGAATACAATTCTCACATGTAGAGCACAGCAACTGAATGGATAATTCAAATGACATTTTATGTTGTAACCCTTGAATATTCTTTAAAATCATGTGGGACAAACGTTCATAATGGAGAAGGAACAAAATATTCGTTCAAAGAAATTGTTTTCATTCACACTTTTGCTTATGATTCAACGCGATAACATGAGATGAAGTTTTTATGAATCGTTCGTATGCTCGTCCAACCAAAAGATAATTTGAAAGACAGTCGGTGAGTCCCAAGGATACATAACTTAAGTCATCATCTTTATATCAATTGCGAAAGTTTCAATGGTTCAACAGACTGATTGATATCATAATCAATATTTCACAAAAACACTTCTTCTTTTTTCTTAATGAGTATATACATATGAAGGGAACAAATAGATTGCACTTTGAAGTATTTTCTAATGAATTGGATGATTAAGTTAACGGTTAACGACTTAGTTAACGAAGTGCTGGTCAATATAGGATATAATTCTATAAAAATATTTTAAACAAGTAAATCAAAATGACTGTATCGGCGGCGAAAGGAAAGGCATGTTGATCATGTTGATGATCAGTCAAGTCTGATAAATTTGAATGTTTTTCTTCTTCTTAACAGTTAATGGTTCTTGAGCATTAATACTATTGTGCAGCTCGACCCCGGTGTAAATGACGAGTTTCTAAAAATATTTAAAGGAATGATAACATCTGAACTAAAACCGCAAGATATGTTTCATGCTCCTTAAACTTGATTACTTTACATTTTTTCTTCTCTAATTCGGCAGCTCAGATTTCTTTCACCATCGGCACCCGGCGTATGATACGAATGTCAGACACCCTTCAACTTACACCGTTCAATAGTCACAAATCCGGTATTTAAGACTCAGTGATCAAAGCGGAAACAATATATAAATATGCTTGAATAATTGTTTATAGAGCACAAATTGAAAATCAATTTCAACCTGTGGTATCTCTTACCTCGCGATCTACTGCTTTTCTTGGGTTTATTCGTACCATTTTGATCCATTTGCTGTTGGTTGTTACCGGGCTGTACAGGCACTGGTTGCGGGTCGGCTAAACCGTGCTGTGACATATCTTTCGAGGTGATGAACGTTTCCACCCTCGCAGATCAAAGTCCGTCAAAATAAAAATGTTTCTGAAGAAGCGATATCTTCTTGCGTAAGAATTTCAAATCAGTGGTACATCAATTCAAATAAACGGTGAATAATATTTTTTTTATAACGAAAGGTGAGTCCAAATTGTTGTAGTGTATTTAAATTCGAGATGTATTAACGCGAAAAGTGTTAGTCCGTGTTCAGGAAAAGAGAGAAAAACATGTGTGCGAGGCCTGTTAGGACAGAGTTTAGCCCCGGGGTGTGCTGGCGTAGGAACAGGAGAGGGCAGCGCTGGATGAAAAAAATGTCGCCACAAAATGAGAGAAGACAGATGAACGATGAGCGATTAGTACACGGCCGTGTGCTCTGGTGCGCTTCGTTGAGCGATCTTACACTTTTATGCCAGCGCCCATTGAAAAAGAGCGACCAAGCACATTGAGACCGTGCCCCGGCCAACCTCGCTCTACCCCACACCTTCTCAAACCAGCATTTGCATACATACACATACACACCCACAATCTTTGCATACACACAATCCCCTTCAAGTTCACATACACAGACAAAAAAGTGCAGTATATACACACAATCTATATGCAGCCTTCATCATTATATGTGTAGATTACACCATTACTGAGTTTTGGGAGGAAAAGAGCATCGGATGGATTCTTCTGCGCATGCGTTATGGCGTCTCCGAATGTCAAACAAAATGGTTATATTTGGATAAGCAACATAATTCTTTTATTTTTCATTTTTACGTTGTTATGTCCTCTTCTTAATGTTATCTTATTTCATTATAGTATGTTAAAATCTTGAACTGGATATTACAAACATTACGTTTACATTCAATGACACATTTTCAAGATATTGTGTAATATAGGAAACTTTTACAATCGACCTTGCATAGCAAATGTCCAGTGAAAAAAAAAATGTTATTAGAATTAAAGGATGATTTTTTTTTTGGGGGGGGGGGGGGGGACAGCATTTTTATCTTCTTCGCAAATCTTCCATTTTATAACTACGATTATTTAAAATAGATGCTTTTAAACGTTCCTAGATCATACAAACTGATTATTTTGTCTCATAATTTGTTTAAATTCTTGACAATTGATGGTTGAAAATATTTGTGAAAAGTTCCAAACTACAGTTTTGCCCAAAAAGGGTAAATAGGAGAAAAATTTTCTTATTATAACAGTCTCATCATGTTATAAAGATAATAAACATATTATCATGGTCAAGTTTGAAGCTGTAGACGAAAGTGACTGTACCAGATTACATGGCAGGATAAATTATGATTCAGGAGAAACTCAAACCAACACAACACATGCATTCAAAATTGTGAATTCCAGACTACTTTGAAATATATATATATATATTCATAACGGTAGCCAGAGGCAAACATGGTATAGCACGCATACAATGTTTCGAAAGTCTTCATTAAGAACAAGTTTAAAGATACTATGTCCCTTTTGCAACCAATATCAAATTATATAGAACTTTGCAGGAATTTTGAATATGTCATGTATTTCCTATCTGTGAAATTTAAACTTTAGCAGTGTCCTATAGTATTTAAATTATGCAAGGAAACCCGTTCACATTCTAGACTTCACTGTCAGACACTTCTAAGTGACTGACTGACAGCTTTTTTTATTTAGTAATAACATACATAAAATGAGCTGTAACAGGTACATGAGCATTTGTCTACATCAATAACCCACTACTTGCAAGGGCCAAAATTAAACTGATTGTATCTTTGCGCAGCACAAGACGTACGACCATTTGACGATTAATGGTCGTTATCTTCCCACTAAAAGCCATTTTCAAGCCCTTTCGTTTTGAGGCAGTTCTAAGTTAATATTTCCTTTCAAATGCCGTTGGAATTTAAGCTTTTCATTTTTTTGGCTTGCAAATGGGACATAGTACCTGTGTCATGTATCAATCAATCGTGAAAGAAGTGACGACCTTGGTGAAATGATTTCACATATGAGAATGAAGCCATTTTTAGTGTTTTATTAACATGACTATGTGTTTAACACCAGCAGAAACGCCTTTCTTGTCTAGATTAAAGGTAGTACAAAGTTTTTGTAACATTTTAAAAGGATTGGATTATCAAATTCAAAATTTGTATTACCATTTTGGAACCTAGTGTTAGAGAAAGCAACTTTTAAAAATTGGGCTCTAAAAGGCAAAGAATTCCGAGAAAATTAAAATATCACAATTATCGGGGCTTCCGATCAATTTCAAATAGCGCCTATAGCCATACAATGGTAGCTGCGACCATGAAAATCTCTAAATATGCAGTTCTGATATTTAATTTCTAAACGGGAATAGAGAATCGGTCGATTTTTAGTCAAGAAACATTGTTTTGAAGCTAAAGTAATATCAATCTTAAAAGGGAGCTATACAACATAAAGAGTTTATTATTCACAATTTTACCACTTTAGACTCGATTTCAACCGCGTCAACGATCATTGAATATGTTTATTTGAACCAAATTTATGACTTCATACACAAACTTTGTATTGGCTTTCTGTAGTGTGCAGCATTGTTTTTGTTTTGTCCTGTCACGTCTTGTTTATCTCATCCTGCTATGAAATGTTTTGTCATGTCCTGTCTTATCTTATTATGTCTATTTCCTTTCTTTTGTGTTCCGTTTTGTAGTTCTGTTATTTTGTATATTTCGATTATTTAGACACTTTAAAAGGGTTTAGGAAAATATGTTATTATATATTATATTTATATAACTGTGATTATTTAGACACCTTAAAATGATTTATGAAATAATGTTCATTCTATATTTATTCTTGGGAACCTACAAAAAACAAGCTATGCCTTCCAGTAGGTTCCTATTTCATTTCATAATTTTGAACTTACTTTGTCAACTATGTACTTTATTGTGCAAAGAATTGATATGAAATGGAATAAATTCGAATCAATCAATCAAACAAAGTATTTTTGTTAAACACTATTTTTGTCATAAATATTCAAGACGAAATTTATCATCATGAAAGAGCACTGCATGTGATATCTGGTGAAGATTCTTGACTCTCGTAAGAGAGGTCAGCGGTTCGATCCTTGCTCCGTATTTTTGTTTCTTTTCGTGAAGTGGAGTGTTTAAAACAAGCATCAAACTGAAATAATTGCATATTCTTAGTAACTAGGAATAACCACGTTCATTTTACCACATGGAATCAACATTAGGTACAATGCGACTACAATCTGTATGCGTCACAACAATGCGGAAAGCATTTATTTCAAATTACTTCCACACAATTTGAATAGAATTAGGAGTTAATATCCATGCACATTTCTCATTATTTGTTTCATAGTGTAACAGTGATTATCATGAACACCATTTTTTTTTTTAAACGTGGTCGCCCTGTTGGCCTAATCTATCGTTTATTATTTATTCCTATAATTTGTTCGATGTACATGAGATTAAACCGCGAAAAGTTTAAGGCCTTCATTCCACTTTTTGTTTAAACCTGATTTTTAATAGTCTCTCCATGAATTCTACACCAGTTCGTTATAATCTATTCTTAAAACTAAAAATAAATATGTTTAATATGTGATTAGGTTCGATTTTTTTTGTTATTGAAAGGGAAATAGTGATAATCAAAGACATTCGCTTTTAAAGGGCAGATCCACCCTAATATTATTTTTGATAAAATCGGAACACTTAGAGGAGCAGCTCAGTGGAAGTTTGAACAAGATTCCATAAAAAAATAAGAAAGTTATTACTTTTTTTAGTTGCGATCAATCAGACACAAATGTTCAACTCTATGACGTATTTCGGGAACTCCCGTCCCATTTGCTCTTTTTTGAAAAAAAATAAGAAAAAACTTTTGTTACTCTAAAGAAAATTTCTAATCATACTTGCACCCTAAATATAATTGTTGCAAGTATGTTTTTTCCAAATTACCCCTACATGAAACTATTCTATTCCGTCATCAATAACTAAGAAAATGAAAGCTTATGAAATGTTATGTACAGGGTAAATTGGAGAGGACCTCGCAAGATACGTCACAGTGTTGCCAATTTGTGTTTCACTGATGACACCTTCATACATTTATAACTTTTATATTTGTAATAGGCTATCGCTCAACTTTAACTAATTTGTTTCTCTCTTGTCATGGTTCTATTAAAAACAGCTAATTATAATGATGGATTTCCCCTTTAAATGTAAGTGTACCTTTTCCAATCTTGTATCTTCATCTGTAGCCCATATGAGCGAAGGAGGTTAGACCACACTTATACGTTAATTTCCTACACGTACCGAATTTATAACTGTAGTTCTAAGACTAACACTATAAACCTGACCCTATACACCTTACCTAAAATCATATCTAAACAATAACCCTTAAAGGGATCCGGTAACTTTGTCTTAGATCCTTTAAACAAATCTTTGATTTAGCTCATGCTTATGGTCAGTCAGGAACCCCATGACTCTTTCAGGCCGATCGCCTGTCTGATTATCAAGATATTTATGATTGAAAATCGAAATCAAATTTTGCGTTTGCCAAACAGTTTTCATAACTCTACAGTCTTTTGGGGAAAACGAGTATGGTAAAATCGGTCACACAAAGGTTTTTACTTTTTTGAGACACTTCTTGATCATTTTGAAGCGCATTTTTTTAAGGGCTTCAATATAACCCCATATCACAGACACTGACAACACGTAGGGTCGTGCATCTCAGATTTAACATTGTTAAACGATCCCTTTAATGTATTCAGGGCAATCGTCACCGGAGCTTTATTATATTGGGTCCTAATAGGTCCTTGAGTCGACTTTCTCCGGGTACACTTAACGTATATGGATCATTTAAACACATCAATCGGCAGGTGTCATTGTTATTGCGATACCAATGTTTGTTCCTACACGAAGAGATAAATTAACCTACAACAGTACAAATTTGTCTTGTTTTTCTTTCTCACATTGGCAAACAAGTAATCTCATTTTCCACCTCTTCATAGACTGACGATTAATATCTGTATCAACTTAATGAACCAATGAGAACGAATATTGAAAAATGTAACAGAAAAATTGCCAATTTGTACACGAAAATAGGGATTTTACATTTTAAACTGCTTTGCTAATTGCATATTGCATTGGGAAAAAAGAATTCCGTGATTTTACCTTTGACTGCTGATGTATAATGTGTAATTCCAAGCATTCTGGATCAAAATATAATGCAAAAATATTCCTAAAAACAAGAAACAGTACTGATATGGCTATGATTTTGGTTGTAAAAATAAAAAAACCCTTTTACTTTATCAGGAGGAATGCACTTGACATAATTGTCGGAAGTACTGATAAATAAATAATATATAAGAAATGTGTGTTGAGATATCCAATACACAACAAAGCCTTCCAGTCCCTAACGACGTATCTGATTTTGTCACTGCATTATACACAGGCTTTGTATGTTACGAAAGAGAGACATATTTGCAAGCATTTCAGACTTTTTAGAAAAGCGTCATATAAAACAAATCGACAAAATATATTATTGCCTACCTGTAAATGGTTCACCATTCATCTTCAGTATTCACCAAACGAAAATAAAATCATGCTTCCAAATACATGACACTGAATAGATTCATCAACTATAATGTTGATGGGCGATTACATG